ATCGTATTGCAAGGAATTAATGGCAATAAAAGCTATACCTAAAAAAGAAGAGATTTAAAAAAAAGCTATCCCAACATAAGATACACCCTCCTTGCCTTGCAAATGGCAATTTTATAAAACACAAGGTAAAATCTGAGTCCTAGAGATTGAAAAGAGCTTTAAGAGCTCTGGTGGCACAGTAGTAAGAAACAGCACTACAATCCCAAAAGCCCTGGGTTCAATTCCACTAGCTGCTCTGAGGGAGGATGGGCAATCTCCTCCCATGCGATTTACTGCCTCTGAAAACCCACTAGAAGGTCGGCTATGGGTCCTTTCAGACATTATAGAACACTGCAAAAGGATGAAAAAAAAGAAACACATGGAACTCACTCAGTCCAACTATGCATAGCACATTGTGAGGCTGATATTACTTACAAGAATAAACTCTTTGCAAAGTGTTTGTGTATCAATGCAATCAATTGATGTCTGAAATAAACTTCTGCATTGACAATTTCCCACAGTTATTTTATCCATATGAAATCACCCCTGAATTCTCAAAAACTAAGTTCACAGTCACAATCCCCTTCAATGAATGGAATTTCTCTTGTCATTTTTCCATCCATTTTCCTTACTCTGGGTGTCTGCTGTCTAAGGTTTATAATTCAAAATTGACTCTCCTAGCCAAAAGACTAACTTTTTTTTTTATGTTGAAGTAATTATCATATTAAGGAGAGAGAACACTATATAGATGAACGATAATATACAAATGAAGCATGTTAGCCTATCCACAAGGGGACTGGCCAGTCTCAACAATATGTAAGAGGACTGGCTAGTCTTACCAAGAAACTGAATAGCTCTAGCCATCACAATAGAACATCTGGCGCCACTGAAGAGAAAGCAAGAAAATGTAGAATGTCATTCCTTCTCCAGCTACACCTACAGAGGCAACATCTATGACCCAACAGGAGATTATGTGAGTTGGGACCTTGGGGGCCAGGGGTTGGGGGAGTCAGTAACAATTGGACTGAGAACTCTGTTGGACAAATAGGGTTGGGAAGCCAATAGTGACAGGCTTGAGAACTTGAAGCCACAAAGCTCGGGGCTGAGTTGCCTAAATGCACATTTCAGAAACTGTCTTTACTATTCTTAATCTGAATTACAACCTATTGACTTATGTGCGCTATCACATCAAATTCTGTACCCAGTAAACAGTAAGACTGGTGTTGAGATGAGTAGATAAAGGTGCATGAACGTGGAGGATATGTCTGACTTCATTGGGAATTGGTTTGTGTTATTAATAATGTTGATGGGGGCAGTTCCCCTTTAAGAAGTTTGTAAATGTCAGATATGGCCATCTGCATGTGGCCCTTGCTCTTTGTACACTCACAAACAGATCTGTCCCAGGGATTTAAAAAAAAATGTTCTCTCCATCTTTTAAGTTTTTGGCCCTCTCAGCCTTTATTGTTAATTGAAATATGTCAATTGGTATACCATCTATTCCTTCTTTTAATACTTCCTGGATCATTTAACATTCTGATGGTATACCAATTGACATATTTCAGTTAACAGATGCGGCCCTGGATGTGCTCACCAAGTTGTGCCAAGAAATCTGGAGAATGACCACTTGGCCAACTGACTGGAAGAGATCGATATTTGTTCCTATCCCAAAGAAAGGTGACCCAACAGAATGTGGAAACTACAGAACAATCTCACTGATTTCACATGCAAGCAAGATTTTACTGAAGATAATCCAAAAACGACTGGAACAGCACATCAACAGAGAACTACCAGAAGTCCAGGCTGGGTTTAGAAGGGGTCGTGATACTAGAGATATTGTAGCTGATGTTAGATGGATCTTGGCTGAAAGCAGGGAATACCAGAGGAATGTCTATCAGTGTTTCATTGACTATGCAAAGGCATTTGACTGTGTAGATCATAACAAACTATGGCTGACTCTGAGAAGAATGGGAATCCCAGAACACTTGATCGTTCTAATGCGAAACTTATACTTGGACCAGGAGGCAGTCATCAGAACAGAGCAAGGGAACACTGCATGGTTCAAAATTGGGAAGGGCGTACGCCAGGGATGCATCCTATTCTCCATATCTTTTCAACCTGTGTGCAGAACAGATTATCCGGGAGGCTAGGCTCTATGAGGATAAATGTGGGGTCAAGATTGGTGGACGATTTATCAACAACCTGCGTTACGCGGATGACACAACCCTGCTTGCTGAAACTGAAGAGGACCTGAAGCGCCTGCTGCAGAGTGTCAAGGACTGCAGCCTACACTATGGATTGAGGCTCCATGTCAAGAAGACAAAGATTCTCACCACTGGACCAATTGGCAACATCAGGATGGATGGTGAAGAGATTGAGATTATATACAGCTTTAGTTTCCTTGGCTCCATAGTCAACCGTCTTGGCACCAGCAGCCAGGAAATTAAAAGGCGCATTGCCATGGGAAAGTCTGCTGTTAGGGACCTCTCCAAAGTACTGAAGAGCAATGGTGTCTCTCTGGAGACTAAGGTGCATCTGATACAGGCTATGGTCTTTGTAATCACTTGTTATGCATCAGAGTTGGACAATGACCAAGGAGGATAGAAGGAGAATTGATGCCTTTGAGCTGTGGTGCTGGAGAAGAGTATTGAGAATACCATGGACTGCTAGGAAAACAAACAGATTTGTCCTGGAAAGGGTTAAACCGGGTGGCTCCTTGGAGGCAAGGATTCTGAGGCTCCATCTAACATACTTTGGACATGTTGTGAGGAGAGACCGGTCCCTCTATGAGGTGCATTGCTTCAGTGACTAGGATAACTGGGATGGAAGTGTCAGAGACAGTGCAATTGGCACAGGACAGAGCAGAGTTTAGGGCTGAGTCATAAGCAACTCGACGGCACATAACAACAACAACAACAGCCTTTATTAAAGAATCCTTGAGTCTCCTCTCATTGGTGCGTAAATCATAATTTCCCCCCCTTAAAACTGTAACAGTCAGACCTGTTTTAACAATGCCATGGAACTGCAAATATAGAAAGTCTGTGACTCCTCATAACCAAACAGCTGTAGACCAGCCACAGCCAGCACTTCTGCCTTCCGCAGAGCAGGAGAATCTCAAGGTCATGGTTAAATTCTATAATCTTCTTTCTATAGATCATGAGTTTTCTCCTCTCCTCTGTAGATATGGTATCAGCAATCAGTTTTTAACATTCGTTTCCTCTCAAACTGCATCCCTCCATGTTCAGCCACTACTGTTATGTGCAGTTGAGTTAAAACCAACTCATCACCTCCAGTTTTCAGTCTATAAAACACAAGGGAGGAGGCTGACTATTTTTCTCCTACTGAGTAGCTGGCAGATTCAAACTCCCTTACTTATGTCCGGCCATACAACTCCTCTTACAGTAGGCCACCAGAACTCCTAGTAAACTTTTAAGTTTTTATCTTCTTAAGCCCTTCAGATCTATCTCACATGTCTGAAGCCAAGCTCATCAGAACCTTCCCAATAATTCACACCACTCCTCCTCCACTTCCACATCTACCAACTACATATAAACCAAATAAGTCAGCGAACAGCCTCTAAGGTTTGCTGGATCCTCAGTTCTAACATTTCAAATCCCTTTTTTGTAACCCCATTCCCACTATTGTCACAGATGTGGTCCTTCTCCACAGCTCAAATGTGACCTCTGTGACTGAATGCAGTATTGTTATCACTCACTTGCCACTGACCAGCACTGTTAACAGAAAAACAGTCCTGGAAAAGAGAAGATGAGGAGCAATGGTGGCCCAGTGGGAAGAAGCTGCACTGCAGTCCCAAAGGCAAGTGGTTTGAATCCACTAGCTGCTCCAAGGGAGAAGAATGGGCAATCTTCTCCCATGGGATTTACTGTCCCTGTGAACCCACTGGAAGGTCAGCTATGAGTCAGTTCTTACTCAACTGCCCACAGCATAAGAATAAAAAGAGGGACAAGACACTTCACTGCCAGTTCTCCTTCCATCTTAACCTGCAGCATTATCCCATCTCTCCCCAGCTACCCAATCTTTCCTTACATTAAATTTCTCTTCTGACTCAAGTTGCCCTTCAAGCCTCTTAAATCCACTAAAGTCCTTTACTTCATTATCTGAAAGATCACTGTAACTCTGTCCTGACAGATGTGGGATACCTTTCTGTGCTTTTATTTTTCATCAGTATCATTAAAAATATCATCATCTTTGAACATCTCCAAGGAAACACCTGGAAATGATTACAAGCTGCAACACTGTATGCAACGCTGGTGGAAACTAGATGTCAGTAAGAATACCAAGTTTTTGAGGTTGTTTAAAAGAAGGGTGGGAGATGCTTTCCAAATTAGCTTGCACACGTTAAAAGTATCAAGGCCTACAGTAACAACGAACTAACCTAAATAAAACAACTATTGAAAATCTGTTTTTCTGAACGGAAAACAAGCAAACTCTTAAGTAGAAAAGGCAAATCACAAAGAACTGAGCCACAGTTTGTCTCTAGAGATGTTGCCTGTCTTTCGTGGTCTGATCACAGGCTTAACATTCGGAAGTAGATAGTTTCCAGGAATGAAGGAAAGAGTGCAGGGTTCCAGAAGGGCTGCTTAACACGGTAGTCAAACGATGAAGTTGCAAGAGCCACTGCTAAGTTCAATTTACAGCTAATTCTCGACTTTCTATTAATATTGATAATAAAACGAAATCCACTAGCCAATTACTTGGAGAGGAGGGCTGGGCTGCCTGCACAGACCCTCCTACTACCCAGACATGCAGTTCATTTGCTGGCCAACCTGCAACCAGCGCCGCTGCGGGGAAGTGAGTGCCTGGAAGGGGATCCAGGAATTGGCTAAGGACTGAACCCCACGCACATTTAACCCACTGACACCTGGGGCTCCGATCGGGTTTCTGGGCGGATTCTTAACTCTTACGTTAGTGAAAGCACAAGGCAAAATACGGCCAGAGAAGAATGCAGCCACAAGAGTACGGGGTCTCGGGTGCACGGGGGCCTGGGTCCCCGTGCCGCCTACCGTGGCTCTGCAGGATCTCATGCTTGAGGCCGCCCGTATAGTCGATGAGTTCCTCCAGGCCGCGCTCGCACAGCTGCCCGTAAGCTGAGAACTTGTGCAGCACCTTCTCCAACTCACGCTCCACCGTCACGCACTGATCCATCCCGGAGGCGGCAGCGCTCGGCTCCCCGGAGCCCGGGTCTTCGCAGCTGTTCAGCCTGGGCCCTACTGGGCCCACGTCCTCCTCCTCGTCCCCCAGTCGTGCGGTGCGGGCGGCGGAGGCGGACGAAGAACCAGAGCGCTAGCCGCGGCGCCAGGGGAGACCCACATAGCCGAGGCCCGCCGGCCCCATGACGCCCCAGCCCTCGCGCGTAGCCGCTGCTCCGGCTCGCCCTCCTCCGGTCCGAGTCCCGTATCCGCGCGCGCGGTGCTCCGCTGCCTGCGTCGGCAACACCGATTGTTTTTGTTTTCACGGGAACTGGCCGATGACCTGGTTCTCCCGGGCAGCACCAAACATCGGCGTCGGATGGGGGTAGCCACCCCAGCTAGGAAGGCGACGACGTAGGCCGTACCAACAGCACGTTCACAGGGGAGCAGCAACGGCGTCAGCACACGCCGCGACTCTAAAGTCATCGGCCGCACCTTGTGACGGGAGCGGAGGGAGGAGGGTAGGGGCGGGGCCGGGAGCCTATTGGTCGGAGAACCGAACAGGCAACTTCGAAGATCTCCGAGCGCTCGGAGAACGCGCTTACTACGCAACCCGTGAAAAAAAAAAACCCTGGGGTGGGGAGGCTGCTCCCCCGCCACGCCCCCTAGAAACAAGAAAACGGCCCAATGGGCGCAGGGAATATGTAGGAAACGAATATTCTCCAATCGCTGTTCTAGGCTTAAACCTTCAGCCAATCGCTATTGAGGGGCCAAACCAAAGTTTTTGCTGTTGGAAGGGGTGATTTGGACTGTGTGTCAGCTTGGAGAGACCATTCTTCTCTAGAGCAGGAAGAGAAACGTAGCAAAACTGAGATTTCTTTTCCTTAAGGCATTATCTTTCCATCACTTATAAAGGAAAGGAATGTCGTCATTCTGAAGTCGCTGAAAGTAGAAGAGCTACTCCAAACGGGAAGGTAAACCAGGCCGCGGGGCGGAGATACAAGCAGGGCCCGTGGTGGGAATGAAAGGTGAGGCTGATGCTGCCGCCCAGGGGAATTGTCTGCGACCTCAGTGTTAACCTTGACCTCAGTGTTGACGCTTGCAACACTTAGAAGTCACGTTGTCACTGTCTCGGATTTCAGACCTTAACCCTCCGTGTGGTTGGTGCCTCTCTCTCCTCCTCAGCCCTCAGTAGCTCCAGACTGTAAAGAATGTCCAGAACATGCTGCGTAGAGCCTGATGGCTGGAGACACCACAGCCTGGACCCTTCAGAGAATAGAATAGCTTGGACGCTGCTACTTAGAAACTTATCATCTTTGGGGCTAATGGCGTCCAGAACCCTGGCTCTCCATGAGTCAGCCGAGTTTGAGTTTTGTTTTGTTTTGTTTATTATTGCCTGCCAGACTAGGCCTTACCTCAGTGCCTTGTGCTTCATTATTCTCTGGCCTGTCTTATTCTGAAGCTCCGCACTCCCCTGCGGAGGGGACTTCTGACTAAGCCAGATTGGTGTCTCCACCTCACCTCGTTCTATCTCCTTTGCTGCAGTAGAGTTATTACAGTGTACATTATACTGGGTTGTTGTAGTGTACCCTAGAGTCTGAACCGACCTATAGCTGACCCTCTGGCGGGTTTTCAGAGGCAGTTAATAGCACCTGGGAGGAGACTGACCATCCTGCCACAGAGCAGTTGGTGGCCTCGAACCGCTTGTCTTTTGTGATTGAAACACAGCTACCCTACCAGGTAGTCCGTCACTTTATTATCTTTACACCACTTAGCATATTTCTCTGTTATCACTACCTCAATAAATGCCTCATGGCATTTATCAAACAACTGAACTCTATTTCCCTGCCCGAAACAGGACAGGCCTTTTAAATTAAAGTGATTGCCATTTTGAGTCTTCATCTCATTTCCATGATTTGGAAGTAATGCCTACTTCACTAGATTATTAAAAAGATTAACATCTTTTATGTAAATGCTCATAACAGGTACATGATAACCATGTTATCATCACTACCGTAATTGTAGTAGTTACTACTGTCAATTTTCAGGAATCTTAAATGGCTTCACAAAGCTGTGGATTTACTGTTGCTATAGCCCCCAACTCTTTTACTCATTTCTTGGGGATTCTCAAAAGACAGTGTCAGTAATAGTAGGAGCTGTTATTATAAATCTTCTCACCCTGCATACTTTCCTTTTTCCTCTCTTTCTTGACAGGTGGCCTTAATTCCTACTTCATTGAATAGACTGAAAAACATACAGCTCAGGCACCCCCTATTTTGTTAGACATTCACCCAAAACTTCCTCAACCTTCTTTTTTCTCTATGTGTTCTACCTTTGAAAAACATCACAATTAGACATTTATCAGTTGCCTCTGTGGATAACCTCACTCTCTAGCCCTAATAGTCTTCATAAACTTATCCTCACATTGCCAGCAATAAGCAAGTTATTATAAACGAAAGCACCACCCAGAGGACTCGTTATACATGTCCAATCAACATGTCAAAACCAGAATCCATATGTCCCTTCCAAAACTACTTTCTTAACCTAATTCCTCAAGTTTTTTTTAATTATTCCATGTTACCAACCATTTTTCCATCCTCATTTTAAACTTAACTATAGGATCCTTGAAAACTTTTTCTCCATCACATTCTCTATTCCATTAATTTGTTGTTATGTGCCATCGAATAGACTCTAACTCATAGCAACCCTATGCACAATAGCTCTGAATCCTACCATATCCTGAGCCAATCTCACTGTCTCTGACACACGTGCATCTGTTTCCCCAATCTCTGTGTCAGTCAATCTCATCCAGGTTCTTCCTCTCCTGCACTCTTCCAAGCATGATGTCCATCTCCAAAGACTGGCCTTTCCTGGATGCATGCCCAAAGTATGTGAGACAGAGCTTCAAAGTCCTTGCAATCAAGTAGCAACTTGATTTCACCATCTCCAGGACAGACCTGTTTGTTCTCTTTGCAGTCCATGGTATGGTCAATATTCTTCACAGCACTACAACTAAAAGGCATTGATTCTTCTGTCATCCTTATTCATTGTCCGACTCTCTGAGGCATGATGCATAGTAAGTAATTGTCAAGACCATGGTGAAAGTAGTTGCAAAGATCAGGTGCACCTTAGTCTTTAGATGACACCTTTGCTTTTCAGCTCTCTGGAGAGGTTCCTGACAACAATTTTCCTGAAGAAATTTGTCTTTTTATTTCCTAATTTCATTATAATCCATTTAGAAACTTTGCTATATAATGCATTTATTTATTCATTACCATTGTTGTTCCAAGAATTTTGTTCTCATCTATATCTATAATAGAAGCCCTGGTAGTTAGTAAGCTAAGAACTGGACTGCTAACCAAAAGATCAGCTGTTAAAGCCAGCTAATCTTGGAGAAGTATGGATCAATCTGCTTCTATAAACTCCTGTGGGGTCACTAAGTGTTGAAATTAAAGGCAGCAAGAGGTTGGTTTGGGTTTAGTATCTCTAAGAACACAGATTATCTTAACTTTTTATTCATGTGTAGTTAGACATCAAGGTTATTGGTAATAACTTTCTAATATCTTAAATTAAGCTTTTTAGTGTTGACATCTCTTGCCTGCATTGGTACCTTTAACATATTTCTAAGATTAATACAGCCTACAACCAGGAGAAGATTAGAAATTAGATGAATGGGACCTTCTAAGAATCAAATCCCTATGCACATCCAAAAACTTCTCCAACAGGGTAAAAAGGGAAGCCACAGACTGGGAAAAAAGTATTTGGTAATGTCATGTCAAGATAAGGGACTAATATCCAGAATTTATAAAATACTTGAGCACCACAACAAGATAAAGGTAAATAATCAAATAGAAAAATGGGCACAGGATATGAACAGAGAGTTCACAAAAAAAGACATTCAGATGGCTAGCAAGCACATGAAGAAATGTTCAAAATCCCTAGCTCTTAAGAAAGATGCAAATCAAAACAACTATGAGACATCATCTCACCCCAGTAAGACCAGCAAAATTTAACAGAGCAGCAAACAACAAATGCTGGCGAGGTTGTGGAGAAGCTGGAACCCTTATTCACTGTTGGTGGAAGTGTAAAATGGTGCAACCACTGTGGATAGTGGTGTGGCACTTTCTCAAAAAGTTGCAAATAGAGATACCATTTGACCCAGCAATTCCACAACTAGGAATATACCCCAAAGAGACTTTAACTGACATCCAAGCAGATATATGCACACCCATGTTTATCACGGCTTTGTTCACAATAGCAAGGAGTTGGAAACAACCTAAGTGCCCATCAACAAACAAATGGATAGAGAAGCTGTGGAATACTAAGCTGCATTGAAAAACAAGGAACTCATGCAATATTATTCAAAATGGGTGACTCTGGAGGACATTATGCTGAGTGAAGTATCTCAGTCACAAAAGGACAAATGCTGCATGGTGCCACTGTTGTAAAGCAGGCCTGACCTTGGGGTTGGGAGGAGACTGAGAAGGATGGGTTCAATAATGTATATTGCATTGAAACAGATAAGAGAGAAAGCTATTTAAGAGGGAAAATTATTAGGTATTTTTGTTATGACAGGAGTCCAGGGCGAAGGCTGTATACTGGAGTGGACCTGTGGAGGAGGGATTGTAAAACAATGAAAGAATTTTTCTTTTACTTTTCCAAAAGAGTAGTGTACTAGGGAGGAGGTTTGGGAGGGGAGAAAAGTGCAACAATGAATGAATGGAAGTCCAAAATCTGTAAATTTTCATTGACATTAATAATAAATTTTTAAAAAATAATACAATGGCTTCCTTTTTATGAGCCTTTGGCCTCTTACCGCTAGAGTGCCACCTAATAGATTTTCTTCCTCTCAAAGGATTCTTTTAATAATTTAGGTCATCTATAAGGCTTTCAAGATAATGTCTGGTACATGTTGTTAAGTGCTGTTGAGTTGTAGACAACTCATAGCAACCCTATGGATGAAAAGACCTGAACCCTTGTAAACTTTCATTGTTTCTCCACGTTCATAGAGTTTCT